ATACCTTTTTAGCGGTAGTTGAGCATTTATACCGGCAGCCATTATAACTGCCACTAGAACGTTTTAGCAACAGTTCTTTTAGCGGCAGTTTACCGACTGCCGGTAAAAACTCTAGCGGCAGCTTTTCTTGTAGTGAATGCGACCGGATCATTCAACCTGGAAATTAAGACCAAGTAGGTAGGCCAACTACATGACTCAAATCATGTATTGCCATCTGTAAACTCAGTTTCATCTCTTTCGTAATGATAGACCTCCTTATTGAAAAGCGAAAAATATTTTAAGGCTAATTTGGAAGGAGTACAAATATAAATATGTACAGTACAAATACATATAAAATAATACAAAATACAAGGTTCTGCGTTCTACATATTTATATTTGTACTCTTTCCAAATGGAGCCTAAATCGCAAACATTGTAGATTAAGAATTTTGTGTTGCAAATTATAATTGCCAAAATAACTTTCGGTGCCAGCATTCCATCGCGGTTCTACTTACCCCGGTAAAGACAGAAGAGGGAGAGGATTAATGTTTTCAGCAGGTGGGTAAGAGAGTATCGGGTGGGTAATTGACACTCTCCAAAAAATTTGTCTTCCATGAACCCCATTATAGTGGTATGACAACAGGAGGAAGTTGCTCAATTACCCAGTTGACCAATTTACCTCCATGAGCGAGATACCAGAAAGCAAATGAGGACTAAAAGTAATAAGAACTGTTCTTTTGCATAGAACGCACAATACATGCAGAAAATTTTCTCCATATTTGTCTCTCTCAATCCAAATTATTGTTGTCTCATAGAAGATTTCTTGGAGGTTATTAGATATATCCTATATACCCAGTTGTTTATATCCTTAGGACTTCATCCTTAGGATAACAATTATCCTTAGAGGGTTAGGGTAATTGTTATCCTAATGAGATTAGATCTGTTTGCTATCTTTGTTTATTGTTATCTAGGACTTTATCTAAGATAGAGTTTCCTCATTGTAGAACTCTTCTATTATAAATACAGTTCAAGGCCAATGGCCAATTCACTATGCCCAAACATTATTTGTGTTCTTTGATTTTAACTTAGTATTAGAGCTCTATCGATTCTGTGGCTTCCAGAGGCTTCAGTTCTGTGTTACAACAATCAACAGGCGCATCAGCCTCCAACAACACAGTAGATTCAAATTCAGTTCCCCATAGTGGGATTCATTATCTTCCTATCAAGCTCACCAACGACAACTACCTGCTCTGGAAGGCATAGTTGCTACTAGTTCTCAACACCAATAGACTGATGGGGTACATAGATGGTTCCATCATTGCACCTCCTCATTATATACTAGATCCGATAGATAGAAGTCGGATGATTCTCAATCCAACAGATATTGAGTGGTTTGAGAAAGATCAACTGGTTTTATCCTAAATCATTACATCGCTCACGGAGAATGTGTTTGCTCAAGTTGTAGGACATTGATCTTTTGGTGACGTCTGGAATGCTCTGGCGAAATCCTTTACAAATTACTCATGGTCCAGGCTGATGCAATACAGAAGACAACTTCAGAGTCTCAAAAAAGGAGGTATGTCTCTATTTTTTAATATGTTCGAAAAGCTAAATCCATAGCCGATAGCCTTGCAGCTGTAGAACCGGTAAAGATGAGTGATTTGATTCTTTATATAGTGGCTGGATTAGAATCCAAATAAGAATTTGTTGTTACTGCCATTACTAATAGGTTCGATATAGAGGACCTCAATATTGATGATGTTTTAGGCATTCTTCTTGGCCATGAGGGCTGGTTAGAATAGAATGCTACCACAGTTGATTCACCCCCTGTGGCCAATATGGCTAATTTTAAAAATAATAATCAGACTCCCCTTCCGGGAACACCCACAGGAGAGGCAGGGGGTGTGGTTCTTTAGAAAACCGCATGAATAATGGTGGTAGAGGACGTGGAAATACAATTATCTGTCAGTTGTGCAATAAGCCATGACATGGGGTGATTAAATGTCGCTGACGATATGACCTCAACTACAAGAATGAGGAGGCAAAACTCGTAGCCTACAACAACAATATTGTTCCCTCTCAATCTACGTCCAATCCAACCTGGTACCCAGACAGTGGTGCAACACATCACATGACGCCTGATGTCGACAATCTGCAAACTCGATTTGAATATGGTGGGTCAGATCAAGTCAAAGTTGGTAACAGTTCAGGTTTGGAAATTAAGAATATTGGTTCTTCAATTCTGCATACAGCTACTCGTCAGTTTTCTTTAAATAATATTTTTCATGTACCAGAGCTCTCCAAAAATCTATTATCTATTCAGAAATTTGCTCGGGATAACAAATTATTATTTGAATTTCATGGCGATTATTTTCTTGTGAAGGATTATACGGGGAACATCCTATTATGAGGAACCAGTAGAGACGGGTTGTATCAGTTTCTGGGCGAGGTGATCAATACAAATCAGTCTTCTGCATTGATCGGCGAAAATGCTTCTGTTGATGATTGGCACAAATGTCTTGGGCATCCAACCATGCGAATTGTGAAGCAAGTTGTCACTCAATTCGGTCTACCTTATGAAGGTCAATTTTGTTTTAGCTCTAATTTACTTTGTGAGTCATGTCAAGTCAGTAAGAGTCATAGGTTACCTCTTCCCTTGTCTTCTTCAGTTGTTTCTCGTCCACTAGATTTGATATTTTCAGATGTATGGGGACCAGCCCCAATTTTATCTAATGCAGGGTTTCGATATTATGTATTTTTCATTGATGCTTATAGTAGATTTTCTTGGTTATTTCCATTGCAATGGAAATTAGATGTTTTTGATGTATTTTTATCCTTTAAGCATCATGTTGAAAATTTATTTAATCCCAAAATCAAGGCTCTGCAATCTGATTGAGGTGAAGAATATCAGAAACTTTCTTCTTACCTGGACTCCGTTGGCATTGCTCCTCGACTCGCCTGTCCTCACACACATGAACAGAATGGTTGTGCTAAACGGAAACATTGTCATATCATCGCTCCCCTTCTCCTTCTGGGTAGATGCTGCCCTTACAGCAGTTTACCTAATTAATCGGCTTCCTACTGCTACTCTCCGAAACAAGTCTCCAGATTACAGGTTCCTCAAAATTTTTGAGTGTGCTTGCTATCCACTACTTTGTCCGTACAATCGGCACAAGTTTGATTTTCGTTCCCTGAAATGCTCTTTCTTGGCTATAGCGACAAACAAAAAGGGTATCGCCATCTGCACCCTGAAACTGGGAAAGAATACATCTCCAAACATGTTATCTTTGATGAGCATCATTTCCTTGAATACTTAGTGACTGCTTCCACCGAATCAGTTCAGCCAACTGGGGTTTATCTGCAACTGCCGCCTGCACCTCCAGCTACACCTTTGGCTTCCATTACAGATTCCCCAGCTTCCACCTCCCTGATATAGGATAATTCAAATCTTCCACCACCGACTGACAGGCCCCACCATTCGGCAACTTCCTCCACAAGTATGTCTTCTCCTGAAGTTGGACCTCGTGGGACACGTCCTATGCAGGACATTCTTGCTGCAAGAGTCCTAGTTGCTTCTCATCATTCTCGCCAACATCCTATGGTCACTCGTTCCATGGATGGATCTCTTCCTCCCCGTTCTCATTTCATGACCAGGTATCCCTTACCACAATCACTATTAGTTCTGTCCCAAGATGATACTACAGAACCCTCCAGTTATTCACAAGTAGTAAAATCTGCTCATTGGCATGATGCCATGATTAAGGAATTTAATGCACTTATTTCTAATGGTACTTAGAGTCTTGCTCCCTACTCGTCTGACATGAATGTGGTAGGGAGCAAATGGGTCTATAAGGTAAAACAGAAGGCAAATGGTACTATTGACAGATATAAGGATGATTGGTAGCACATGGTTTTACTCAAATCCCTGGGGTTGACTTTATAGCTACTTTTAGCCTGGTTGTAAAACCTGTAACCATCCGTACCATTCTCTCTCTTGCTGTGATGAATCAGTGGTGTATACATCAGATTGGTTTTTATAATGCTTTCTTGAATGGGGTACTTCGTGAGGATATCTATATCAAACAGCCCAAGGAGTTTGAAGATCCCTCTAGGCCAACCAATGTGTGCAAATTGCACAAAGCTCTTTATGGACTTCGACAAGCACCACGGGCTTGGTATGCTCGTCTCACTCACTAGTTAGCACAAATGGGTTTTAGAGCCTCTACAACTGGTACTTCTCTCTTTGTGTTCTGTTCCAAGAACGTTACTCTGTATATGCTTATTTATGTGGATGATGTCTTACTTATTGGGAACTCCCAAAGTGCTATCCATAGCAGCATTCAGCAGCTCTCTCGACATTTCTCTCTTAAGAATCTGGGTCCTACTGCCTTCTTCCTTGGTATTCAGTTTACTCGACATTCTAATGGGGTTATTCCTCAGTCAATGCCAATACATCACTGATTTTTAGCATTAGTCTCACATGGATGCTGCAAAACCTATTTCCTCACCTATGGCAGATCATCCCAAGCTCACTCGACAGGATGGTTCTCCTCCTATTGATCCTACTAAGTATCAAAGTATTGTTGGGGCTCTTCAGTATGTGGCGATCACCCATCTGGACATCTCATTTGCAATAAGCAAAGTGTCTTAGTTCCTATAGGCTCAAATTGAGGATCACTGGGCTGTTGCGAAACACATCTTGTGTAACCTTAAACATACCATTATGCATGGTCTCAACCTCTCACGGACATCCTCTACCTTTCTTACTCTTCATGCTTTTTCCGATGTGGACTGGGCAGGGTGTCAAGATGATGGCAAATCCACCAGAGGCTTCGCTATCTATTTAGACCCTAATTTAATTGCTTGGAGCTCCCATAAACAAGCAACGGTTGCATGTTCCAGCACTGAGTCTGAATTTCATGATTGTGCTACATCCGCCATTGAGGTGCTTTGGATTTCATCTCTCCTTCAAGATCTTGGAGTTACACTCTCTGAGATACCTACTACTTGGTGTGACAACGTTAGTTCCACCTATCTTGTTGCCAATCCTGTGTTTCGTGCTCGGACTCGGCATGTTGAGGTTGACTTCCATTTTTCTCTGGGATCTGGTTCTTGCATGATGGCTTACTATCTATTTTATCTCTTCCAAAGATCAGGTTGCTGACATTCTCACCAAGCCTCTCACTGGTGATCACTTTCGCTTCTTCAGAGACAAACTCCATGTTCATGATGAGCATGGAGCATGGAGCTTGAGAGACAAGCCTCTCACTGACATTCTTCGCCCTTTTCTTAAAGGAAGTGTATGAGGCAACCATGTTACCCAACACCTTCTCTTCAAATTTTCTTCTGCCAAGTGCTGACTGAAGATGTTTTACATTTTCCTTCATCTGCAAGAAGATGTCCCTTGCAATCCCACCTATATCTAACAATGTCACTGACCCCTCTATCAACTCAACAACCCAACCCTCTGGTTGATGGTGGACCTGGATCGGACGTGTTTGTGGCATCTGAAGAAAATTCTCTACACATTTGTACAACTCAACAAGACCCAACAAAGCAACACAGATTGATTCTGCCTTCAATGGGGATCCTGATACTATTGACAACTCTAAGGCTCTAAGCCTGCTCAGCTCTTCTTCAATACGAGTAGTAGTAGGATGAGAATTTGAGGGCATGCTAATGGATCGAACATGATAACGATTCTCATTAATTGCACTTGAATCTGTCATCTTTTCCTCCAGATTAGATGATAACGACTCTTTAGAGAGGAACACTCCAAATTAGAGGAAGGATGGTTCTCTACAAACCCTTAATTTGGTTGATCGATCTTATTTATAGAAACACATAGGAGGACAATAAGAGAGGGACAAGGCGAATCTTGTTGGCTTGGAATCAACATGTATACATAACAATCATGTGATATCAGTGTCATTGGCCCTATATTCAATGACATTTTTGGCTAAAAATTAATTCTCAAGTCCCAATTAAACTTATTTTATTTCATTCATTCATGTGCCTATGTGATGAACACTTCTGTATGATCTTTATGTATATAGTGGCTTATTCATTATTTACTGGTATACCATCCCCTTGTCTCCCAACACACCTCCGTTCCAGCTACTTTGCTGTTCTTGGTGTTGGAAACTATTCCAATTTTCCAATCTAATAAAATGTTGATTATTTCCATATTTTGTCTCAATCCAGAGGACCCATTAACCCACCAACCAGACATAATAAACAATATTTAACCAATTTTGGCCAGATACATGATCAAAGGGAACAAGATCTAGATATTTTGGTATAGATGCGGATCAAGGTATCATGTGCGAGATTTCTCTGTGTTTCTCTAAAAAATGCAAATATTTGTTGTGATAATAAGTGAAAGAAACTTTTGTCTAAGATGAAAAAGAGATCTGGCTGGTTAAAGGTGAAGAGATGACATCCCACAATAGGCTACTAGCAAATCCCCTAAGAGAACCGAAATCAAATTCATCCACAACTACATAAGGAAAAACAGGCATTTTCAAAAAGGTTTGTCAATGTCCCTTGTGAGTTATTCAGATTTTTACAAAAATTTAACAAAATTCTTTGCAGGTTCTCTGAGTTGATCAACTTTTATTACATGTGCTGTCCATTAACTAAGCCAAACCAGATTGGAGATTAGCCCACATTTTCAGAAAGTCAATCGACCAGAGCCATTCTTATCTTCTTTTTGGTATATTGATTATCTATACTGGTTTCATGAGCCTGTGGATATACCAGTTTAAATTGTAACTAGCACTAGAACTTGAGCCTCAAAATGATTTAATTATAAAGGAGGTTATACAAATTATACAGTAGAGTTTCTTATAACATAGACAAAAGAGAATGGTGTGAAATTGTATTCCTTAATTGCTTTGTCAATGTGCATAAGTAATACAATACGGATTGCATAGCTTGCTCCCAAATTGGTTGCCCCACTCAAACCAATGGCTTGCTCATGATGGGGAAAATTACCGATCTTGCCAAGTTTAAGGTAAAGATGCAGGCAAAGACAAACCATGAGAAGAAGTTCTTATCATGCAGTTGACCCAATGAGACTAAAGGATGGATAACCAGCTACATCATCAAGTACGTGATCTTGCAGGTTCCTTGATGCAGTACAGGAGAAGGCTAGTACGTTCCATGCAAGTTGGGACCGTTCCAAGAGACATAAGAAGCAGAAATGACGCCACTAGCCCATCTTAATAAAAATTTACCGATATAGCACCATCATGGGAATTCAATCTTAGTACGTTTTTTATCAAGTTGGTGCCATCTTAGAGTTTCCATCTTAGTTCGTTTTTACCAAAATAGCATTACATCGAATTTATATTCAATTAGGACTTTCCTTTTGAAGGGTTTTAGTAGGATTCTATTTTGGAGTGTTTTCATAGATTAGGATTTTATTTTTTAAGGAATTTGAGTAGGATTCTATTATGAATTTTTTCTAGATTAGGATTTAGTAGGATTCTATTATGGAGTGTTTCCAGATTTTGAGTAGGAGACATAAGGGTGTATGCCTATATAAAGAGTAGTTAGGGGAATGGCTAAGGCAGTTCTCTTGTTATCAATTTTCTCTTAATTGTTTAGTGAAGAACTCTTCTTCCTAAAATTCGACTTCTGCTCTTTGAAGTTTTTCTCACGTTTTTCATTTCCATTCTGCATTAGTTGGTATCAGAGATCAAGTTGATCCTTCTTCGGATTATGGCTCCTAAGAAGAAACCAATAGCTCATATCATGGAGCAGGAACTCAACAACAAAATGCAAGAAGAGATGGCTAAGCTGAGAAGACAAGTTGACGCACTTGCTCAGGAGGTGAAATCGTTGCATCCCTAGTTGGAAACAGGGGACAGTGACTCCGACGCAAGTATCTCCACACGTTCTCTTTCACCATTAAGGCAAGCAACCAGATCGACTGTAGTTGCGGGTGGTGACCAGAGATGGTGGCAAGCAGATCTCAAGGTTGAGATCCCGAAATTCCAAGGAGGCATGAGTCCAGAAGAATTCATGGATTGGCTGTTCATAGTAGAAGAAATCCTTGAATTCCAAGAAGTTCCGAAAAATAAGATCGTGTCCTTAATAACCACTCGGTTTTGAGGACGAGCAGCTGCATGATGGCATCAATTGAAGGTTATGCGATAGAGAAGAGCCAAGAAAAAGATTAAGACATGGGAGAAACTCAAGACAAAGATGAGGTTAGAAATCCTACCCCATAATTAGATTCATTTACTTTATCAAAAATTGCAAAATCTAAAGAAAGAAACTAATACAGTAAATGAATGTACAAAGAAGTTTCATCTATTAGTGGCCCAGAATGAATTAGCTGAAATTGAAGACCAATTGGCAGCTAGGTATATAGGTGGGCTGAGACCAAACATTCGAAATATGGTAAACCTATTTGACTGTTATGATGTTTCTGTTGCACATCAACATGCTCTAACCCTAGAAAAACAAAGCAGCCGACCTAACCAATTGGGCCAAACCCAAACTAATGTGGCCAAACCACCACCATGTGATAATCCTAACCCACCTTGAAATCAGCCACAGTCCCATGGGCTGAATCAAAACAAAGGATGTGGACCTAATTCAAGCCAAGTGGGCCACCTGGACTGAAGTTTTTTAAATGTGGTGAACCAGGCCATAAAAATATTGAATGCATGAAGGGTGATAAAAGAAAAGGAACGATGTTTGTAGAATATGAGATTGAAACCCAAATAGAAGCATTTGACTGTTCAGCCCCACCTATGTTTAACTCTTGTAATAATGAAACCTTAGTTGGAGAAATGGTGTAAGGGGATGTGGTAGAGGCCTTGGTGATGCAGTGATCATTCCTAACTCCTAGGGATGAATCATCGGATTGGCTAAGAAATAATATTTTCCACACTATGTGTACTATGGGTGGAAAAGTTGCAAGCCTTGTAATTAATAGTAGGAGTTGTGAGAATGTTATAGCGGAAGTAGTCATGCACAAGCTGAACCTAAAAACTCAACAACACCCTCACTCCTACAAGCATGCATGAGTAAAAGGAAAGAATGAGGTTTCAGTCACACAACGGTGTCTAGTGAGTTTTTCTATTGGCAACAATTATAATGATCGTGTGTGGTGTGAGGTTGTCTTAATGGATGCCTGCCATTTGCTACTTGGACGCACATGGCAATTGGACCGCTACGTAGTCCATGACAGACGAAAAAATACCTACTCTTTTGAATTTAAAGGGAAAAGGCTGATCTTATGTCCATCACAAGAGACTAAACCGAAACCTGGGAAGGGTTCTAGCCTTTTTCCCATGACTGAATTCACTAGTGCCCTAAAAGAAATTGGTGTTGCGTATGCTTCAATTGACAAGGAGCTTGATCTAAAAGGTGTGGAGGCTTAAAAGGAGGTGAGGCCTTTGCTTGATGAATTTAGTGATGTGTTTCCCGAAGATTTATCGGTAGGATTACCACCATTAAGGGATATCCAAGAATATTCATTTATGTTGAAATACAAGTCATGTGTGCACAATCTAGTTAAGGATGTGCTCAGCCGAAGGAAAGTCATGTTATCCATGTTCCGAGCACAGGTACCGGAGTTTGATACTTTTCATGAATTATTTTTCACTAACCCTTATTTTGTTGGTATCATAGAGGAAGTGCAAGCAGGTAGTAGGACAGACTTTGTGATATATGACAGCTTCCTATTCAAGGAGACTCGCCTATGTATACCTGATTATTCATGGCAGCTGAGAATCATCAAAGAGCTTCACAATGAAGGACATTTTCGGCGAGACGAAACAATTCATGTCATCTCAACAAGTTACATTTGGCCCAAGATGACGAGAGACATCACAAGGTTTGTGGAGCGTTGTCACATATGCCAAGTTTCTAAGGGAACGGTAACCAATGCTGGATTATGTATGCCCCTCCCAATTCCTAAAGGGCCTTGGGTAGATATATCTATGGACTTCATTCACCGGTTGCCATGTGCCCAGCAACAGGTAGGTTCTATAATGGTGGTCGTAGACCGATTTTCAAAAATGCCTCAATTCGTGGCATTTGGAAAACAGTGGATGCCTCACTTATTGCTGGTTTATTCCTCAAGGAGATTGTCAAACCCCATGGCTTACCATTTTCGATTACTTCAGATAGAAACTCCAACTTCATATCACACTTTTAAAGAAGTCTTTGGAGGCTAATGGGTACCTCATTACAATTCAGCAATTCATATCATCCTCAAACGGATGGCCAAACTAAAGTAGTCAATAGGAGTTTGAGAAATCTTTTGAGAACCCTTGCAGCTAGCCATGAATGACAATGGGATCTCTTATTAGTACAAGCTGAGTTCGCCTTCAATAGGTCAAAAAAAGGAGTACCAGATACAACCCATTTGAGGTAATATATGGGTCGAACCCTCGTAGCGTCCTTGACCTTGTTACTTGTACTTGGATAGGCTTAATTCATAACAAGGCTGATGATTTGGTACAAAAGCTTAAGAACCTCCAAGAAGAAGTCCAAAACAAGTAAGAGGTAGCCAATGCTATGTAGAAAAAATATGTTGATGGAAAAAGGAGGAAAGTAGTATTTGATACAGTTTGGGCCATTTGAACAGAGGTCCGCCTACCGATTGGGCAATGTAGAAAGCTAGTACCAAGGAATGTTGGACCATGTGAGATAGTCAAACTCATCAACGAGAATGCATATACACTAAAGCTACCCAGCCATATACGTA